CACAGGTGCAGCAGCGGTCAATGTTGGTGGAGTTACTATTCATAGTGCATTCGGGATTGGCACTCAATCTAATAGCTTAAATGATCATTTGTCTTGTGATAAACTGAATAGCTATCGATGTAAATTGCATTCTCTCAAATTGCTATTTGTTGATGAGGTTTCTCTCATACAAGCAAATCTATGGGGTGCCATGCACTCTCGTCTTACTCAAATCATGGGTATACATTCAAATACAGCTATTTTTGGTAATGTTGGAATAATTGCTATTGGTGACTTTTATCAATGCTCACCTGTAGCATCTTCAAGTATTTATTCTTCTTTACTTTGGTCTGATCATTTCGAATATGTTGAGCTTAAAATCAATGAAAGACAAAAAACAAATGTTTCATTTTCACAAATGCTTAATCGTATTCGAAAAATTAAAAAAAAAGAAGATATGAGTAAAGAAGATCGTGATGTGCTTGAAAAATGCCATCAACGTTATTTAAACAAAGAATATCATCCAGAAGCATTACATCTTTTTGCTAAAAATGCTCAAGTCGATGCACATAACGAGGAAATGATAGAGAAGATTTGTACTAATATTCGAACCTTTTATGAAGTCGATAGCAATGATAAAGAAATAAAACAAGGCGATTCTAAACATTCAAGAAAGAATAACAAACCTCTAAGACTTGCTAAAAATGCTCGAGTAATGATAACGAAAAATATTTCTGTAAACGATGGATTAGCAAATGGTGTAACAGGTCGCATTATAGATTTTGTGAACAATAATAATACAGAGATCTCTCGAATAATAATTACATGTGATTCAACTACAGTTGGACGTCTGCATCGTATTAGTTGTCCACATTGTCATGGAAAAGATACAATTTGTGTAACACGAGAAAGTGACACTATTGATCAACAGGATTCCGATTTTCGTTCAAGGAAATCAATAAAGCAATTTCCTCTACGTCTTAGTTGGGCGATGACTGTACATAAAGCTCAAGGTATAACAGTTGATCAAGTTGTAATTAGTACAAAAGATTTCTTTGGCACTGGCATGGGTTACACAGCGTTATCACGTGTTCGAACTGTAGAAGGTTTATTCATTGTTGATGTACATGTTAATAAATTCTACTGCAATGAAAATATTGACAGAGTTCTTTCTCAAATGAAAGCTATGAGTAAAAACCGATCAATATTTCAAGAGTCTTCTCAATTTCTAAACATATTATTTCATAATATTGAAGGATTGAAATGTAATTTTAATGCATTTCGGCAGCATCATTTAACACGAAAAGCTGATATTATTTGTCTAGCAGAAACTTGGCTAAAACATAACAATGATATAAACAAATTAAAACTTGATGGATATAACTTTTTACAAAAAACAAGATTGACCTCATTTGAATCAAGCCATCCGCTTCATTCACGAAAAGGTGGTGGTGTTGCAATATATTTTCGAGAAGACATATGTATAAAAGAGATAGACTCATCTAAACATTTAAATCTCGAATATATTACTTTTGAAATCGACAAAAGTAACACGATCATTATCATATGTTATCGTTCGCCTCAACAAAGCAAGAACGAATTTTTAATAAATCTAATTCAACATCTAGAGGAGATCGGTATTGAACACCATATTTTTCTTATTGGTGACTTCAACGAAGATTCTCTAAGCAATAATTCAAAACCTATTGAAACAAAATTAAAAAGCTTAGGTTTTACAAATATATTTAAAAATTTACCAACTACTAATAGTTTAACTAGTCTTGATTGTGTTTATTGCAATTTCATAACGAATCAAAATGAATATCAAGACGTATCAGGATCGTTCTACAGCTTTCATGATATTTTGACTTTCTCTTTTAATATTAAAAGTGAAAAAAATAACACATTCAAAGAATCTGATCTTGATAAGGCTGATAAAATGGAATTTGAAGACTCTTCAGAAATTCCGTTAACAACTCTCAAAATTTCTGAAAGAATAAAGAAGCGAAAGAGACCCTTAAAAGAAAAAACTCTAAGCAAATCGTTAAAAAAGAGAAATGTTTTACCGACTACTACTGTGTCGGAAGCTGTAAAGGAAAGGCAATTATTTTTTCTTCGTAATTTAGATTATATTCTAAAAACCAATAGCCTGAAAGAGTTATCAAATTTATTTACTGTAACTGAGCAACTAGCTAGTATTGGTTTCCAAATAGTTAACATATTAGGAGATGGTAATTGTTTTTTCCGTGCAATTTCGCACCAATTATATAGACACGAACATGATCATTTAAATATTCGATCTGCAACAATAAATTATCTTATTGAGAACATGAACAATTTCGCACCATTTGTTGATGATATGGATTCAACCATTGAAAACTATATTGAACGAATGAGTCGAAATGGAACATATGCTGATCATCTAGCAATATCAGCTACAGCAGTTATTCTCAACAAAAATATAATCATTCATGAAATTGGTAAAACACCACTGTTAATTCCTGGATCAGATTTTATTGATCATCAAGTACATGTTTGTTATTATCCTGATCTTTTACACTATGATAGTATTGTTTGCGTTAATAATGAATCAGCATTTCTTTCTGCTGAACAAATTTTATTTACTTCATAATTCTTTTCTCTTTATTCTTTTCTTTTTGTTCTCTTCTGCTTCTCCTTTTCTCTTCGTTCTTCCCTAGACGAACTTTGTTTTTCATGCTCTTGACCTGCGCAGACGTCAAGATTTGTCCATAGCGCATGACTTTCTTTCTCAGACAAGCGCTTGAGTGTTTACATGAGTTACAAGAAACTCATGTGCTCAACCCAAGAAAATGCAAGTATGAATTTTCATTAAAAGTTGAGTTATTTTGAACGTAAAATTGAAAAAAACTAAAAAGGTTCCTTAATAACAGAAACGCTTGGGTAAGAATTCAAGCGCATGGGTAAGAATTTCAAGCGCATGAGCAAGAATATCAAGCAATAGAATAAGAAGTTCAAGAACTTTAGCTCACCGAAAGATCTCAATTCTTGCCTCAAGATTTGTTCATAGCGCATGACTTTCTTGATTAAGGTTCTCAAGTATCTCCTGCACAAAGCAAAAGAAGTTCGTCTAGGGTTATCTCTTAATTCTTTTTTCTTACTAATCCAATCTGTTGTATATGTAAACTTCCGTGTTCAATCACCTGTATATTTTTTACTTAAAATAACACTGTTATTTTCTACTTATCTATATCATTTTTTGTCTTATTATTTTACTTCTCGTACCATGTACTTCATATCATGTTATGCCACAATTTAAATATTTTTGCAATATGTCAATTACAACACTACTACATAAAAAAAAAGTAAACTATTGATAACACTTCCATTGTTACACAACATAGGTTTATTTTCATTTTTAGTTATTATGTCTTCTATTTATGAGAATAATCATATTAATTATAGAAAAAATAAACGAAGATATACATCTTCAAATTCTGTAAGTATAAACACTAAATAATATGATTGTATATTTTTATTTGTACATTAACATCTTTTTATCACGAACAAAAGTCTTTTTTATTTAGTTAAGAATACCATTGAAAGTACAATGAACATTATAATAATCTATATTTGATATATGAAATCATATAGTAAGACACAAGCTATTGTCTCGATTATTATAACAATTGTTTGTGCTATCTAGAATGAAAAAAAAAACTTATTAAAAATGATGGATGTGACTTGTGATAAATTTTACCTTGGTTATTTGTAAAGCTACTTATCTTAAAGATAATTTTTAAAAATTGGTATATATTATTTTACAAAAAAAAAAAAACAAATCTATTTTGTTAATTAATAGATTATCAAGTCTCAAAGACTGAGATACCTATAATTACTTCGATTAGAATAAAATATTCTAAAACTATCAAATAATACTAATAACAAGTATACATATAAAGTTACAATTAGTAAGTGTTCAACATTGATCTTTTATTTTACTTTTATCATATCTGTTATAAGGAAAATACGGTGCATGCATGAAATAAATTCAACACCATTATCTAAAATCAAAACAAAAAAAACAAATCAAATGAGTTGAATGATACAAGAAAAAAAAGATAATTTCTTGAAAACAGTTTATAAAAATAAACTTCGTTTTATAATTTACTTATTTTTAATGGATGCAATTATTTATTCCTCAAAATTAGCTGATAATCAAAACCATATCTTTTACTGTTCTTTAATGTTATGTGGTTCAGCTGATGATCGTTTTCTCTTGATACTAAAACTTTTTTCTGTGATAATTTGAACTGTTCTTCAAATGTTCTAATGATTATTCAATAAAATACATCCTACCATACTAGGGTAAAACTACGAATCCTATATGAAACATCTAATTGAGCTTAGTTAAGAAAATCATGAATAAAAGAAAAAGAAGAAACAAGTAGATGATATAAACCAATAAAATCATTTATAGGTTATGGATAAGCAGATGTAGCTAGTGCATATATGCTCCAAATAAGTGAATATTTACTTAATTCATGTTTTTGAATTTAAATTAGAATTTATTTGATTTAACGTTCTTTTGTATTGATAATCAGAATAAATTAACTTATATTGATTTCCATCAGATAATTCAATAAATATATTTGTGTACTTCTCAAATATCATTAATGATATATCAAATGCATGTTCAACTTAATCAATTTTTTGATCGGATTTATTCAGGTGAATTGACCATGCTTTCCCATTTATCTAATTTATAAAAAAACATTTAATTACAAACGATTGGCACTTTAATAAACGTGGTACTAATATTGAATTATTATCATTTCTTGTTATACCACGATATCGTCTAAATAATACATCTAACGATACAGCTAACCAATGCAATTGATTTCCTTCCAGTATATAACGTTTAAGAATACGTTCATATGAATACCATATGTCTAAATTTGTTTTCATATCCATATTTAAATCCAAACATAATTTTGAATATACTAGTTCAACGGATTCATCATGATTATTTGATATTTTCCTTCTTTTTTTTTAAATAATAAATAGAACTGATTGACATTGACTTAAATGGAAAAAACTTACACTAATAAAACAAAGAGATGAAATTATAGATTCCTCTGTTCATTCATTGACAGTCTATTGCAACGAAAATTTAATCATATTAATATCTGTCTCAATTTGGATTTGTTTTTTCTCACATCGATTCAATTGACCAATGAATAAATATTTGTTTAACTTAGTTCATTCAAAAATCATTATCTACTAAAAAACAAAAAAAAAAAAAGAAAATCATCAATAATCTTCGTTTTTTTATTCAATTGATAATATCAGTCATCCAGATAAGAAATGTTTCAAAAATGTTTTAATAAAGAATTTATTTATTTTTTTCTGAAAACTGACTCCATTTTGTAAAATATCTCAAGTATTTAAGTAAAAACAAAGGAAATCATCCAGAAAGAATTCCAATCACTAACAGAGAACTACAGTATAACTTCTCTAATATGAGCACCATCAGGACCAGCCAAAAGTGCTCAGTTTAAGGAGATGCTCATTATTGGGAAGCTTTTAGGTCCTTTCATGAAAAGTCTAAATATACACGTGAAAACGCTTTTAGAGTGCACAGAGTGATATAATACTTCTTTTCAACGATTTATTCTATATTTGGTCGCTAAATGTCGTTGAAATAAATGACGCTCAGAATCTTTTATTAATTCAACTTTTTTAAACAGAGGTAAATCAACACGTTGTGACATTATTTCATGTTGTTGATTATTATCCAAAAATGATGAAATGTCACGCGGAACAATAGTATTTATATTGACTAATTTATTTTCTCTTCTAATTACGTCCGTTTAGTCTATGTCGATCATGGTACGTACCCATTGATTATCTTTAACAAAGCAGACGACATAAAATCATTCTTTTTCTCGTTCAGAATGTGAGTTATAGAATGAATGTTGCTCACATTACAGAGATTGTTCGTCACAGAGGTACAGAATCTTCCTCATGCGCCCCCGCGCGAGGGAGGGAAATTTTTTGAAAAACTCAAATAATAGGGAAATTTTGGAAAAACCCGCTGGCCAAAAAAAAATACAGTGGGGAAATTTTTCAAAAAACTTTTTTGCGTGGGGGGAAATTTTTGGATTTTTGGAAGATTCTGCACCTCTGGTTCTTCATCATGGGACCAATAAGAAGACACTCTCTAACAGAATGAGGAGGTGCTCATATTCGAGAAGCTCATTTGCAGCAAAATTCGTTCGGGCGGACCAGAGACTGCTCAGTATAGGGTGGTGTTCATTATTGGGAGGTGCTCATATATAGAAGTTATACTGTACATTTTAATATTATAAATAGATGAAAAATATAATAAATATTTTAATATTTTATAAGAATTGCTAAGCGCTTATATAAATCTAAGATAACGTTGAAATTTATAAACGAAATTTGAAACTAACAGCGAAGAAATATCGTTTTTTCGAAATTTCGAAAGACTCGTGCTTCGCACCGCATTTCGTATTCGAGTCGAAACTCGAATACCATCTAGTTTT